CAGGTAAGTGCATTTTGTTATTATTTTTTCAAAAGTTAAGTCAAATTGTAATTTTTATCTTTATCTTCAGCTTAAGATACATTTGTAGGCCTATGGGTTTTAAAAGATACGTTTTTAGATTTTTGTTTATATCCGGCTTTTCCGCACATGCGCAGTGGCTTGTAGGCAAAAATCCATCTGGCCGTTCTTTTGTGTTGACAGTTGCGTTGCGTATGTCTGACATGAGATAACTCGTTTTATTTTGAAGTAGGTTTTGTATATAATTGTTTTGACATGACTTCATCTTTTTACTCTAAGTCACTGAATGTTGAGGATCAAAACTGTTACTTTGAAAAGTTAAAACTCGCCGATAACTGTTGACGATGTTGATGTTGTACTGTTGTGTGACGACGGTTGATGTTATACGGCGATAACTATTGACGATGTTGTTGACTTGTTGATATGGAGCTTTTTGCCTAAATAAAATGGCGAACATGACATCATCGTGTCATGGGCCAAGTATCAGATATCAGTATCGGCTCACAACAATATTGGCCCATCCTTAAAGATTAATGTGTAAACTATACAAACAATGACATAAATGTCCATAATCAGTGTATTTATACAGGCCTGCGTGTGATTAAACGGTTGCTTCATCATTTTGGAGAATTTTCGGAGGCCTAAACAATATTTTCCGCTCACTTTCCAGCTCAGTTTTACATTAAGATCTTGGGATATATTGTGGCTTAAAGGGAAACCGTTCCTGACAGCAGCCTTGTTTTCATAACAGACATCATGAAAATAGCTGCAGCCGGTCCAGAGTCGGGTAATTACGGCGCGTCGATGATAGACCCTGAACAGTTGAACATGTCGTGCTAATGCTCTGCGGCTAATCTCTTCCATCCCGCAGAAACTCTTTGAATCGTCCCCGAGACTCTCCGTGTCCGTGAACCGACCGAAGAGGAGCTGAGCCGAGGAGACATCAGAGTTAGATTCCCACGGTGGATCGTAGCGAAGTAAATGTGGTATAGTACTTCACTTAAAGCTGCACTGTGGAACTTTTTGGTTGGGGTCAGAGTCCTGCGTAGTTGCTGAAACGGGCGGGTTTTAACGTTCTGGAATTTCATGGCCGGGAGTGCGTACAAAATGTGGGTGAGTCAGGTAAGTCAAAAGAAAGACGAAAATACTTGACGCGTGGCCAGGACGTGTTTTTCCCTGGAAACGAGTGACATTTTCCGGTCTTTTCCCGGAACGATGGACCAGACTGAGAGAGACTTTAGTGTTTTTATTACAAAAAAACATTAGCAGAGGTGTGTGCTCCTGGTTTAGTCCTGGTTTAGTCCTGGTTTAGACCTGGTTTAGACCTGGTTTAGTCCTGGTTTAGTCCTGGTTTAGACCTGGTTTAGACCTGGTTTAGACCTGGTTTAGACCTGGTTTAGTCCTGGTTTAGTCCTGGTTTAGTCTGGTTTAGTCCTGGTTTAGTCCTGGTTTAGACCTGGTTTAGACCTGGTTTAGTCCTGGTTTAGTCCTGGTTTAGTCCTGGTTTAGTCCTGGTGTAGTCCTGGTGTAGTCCTGGTTTAGACCTGGTTTAGACCTGGTTTAGACCTGGTTAGTCCTGGTTTAGTCCTGGTTTAGACCTGGTTTAGACCTGGTCCTGGTTTAGTCCTGGTTTAGTCCTGGTTTAGTCTTGGTTTAGTCCTGGTGTAGTCCTGGTGTAGTCCTGGTTTAGTCCTGGTTTAGTCCTGGTTTAGTCCTGGTTTAGTCCTGGTTTAGTCCTGGTTTAGTCCCTGTCCAGTCCTGGTGTAGTCCTGGTGTTGTCCCGGTGTTGTCCAGTCCAGTCCTGTCCAGTCCTGGTCCAGTCCTGGTCCAGTCCTGGTCCAGTCCTGGTTTAGTCCTGGTTTAGTCCTAGTCCAGTCCTGGTATAGTCCTGGCAATTGGTTCGGCGGTTGTGGCGTCTCTATATTTATACTAATGACACTGGTTTACTCTTGGGTTAGACCTGGTTAAATCCTGGTGTAGTCCTGGTCCAGTTCTGTGTTGTCCTGGTGTAATCCTGGTGTAATCCTGGGGTAGTCCTATTGTAGTCCTGGTTTAGTCCTGGGCTATTGGGCTGTTGGACTAATGGTCTTACCCTGATTTATCACGGGCACAGGCGGATAACGGGTGGAATGTTAATGGGTCCGAGCGAGTGCAGATTTAATTTATACAATCAGGAGTTAACAGGCGAGTGTGGTGCTGTGCTGCGCAGGTGCTGGTCTCCAAAAATGGACCCGGTTGTGGGTCCATCACCTGCTTGCTTCTATGGATATGTCATCACTTTCCCTGGAATGTTCCACAGTATGACATTAAACAGCTCTACTTTACATTTATTCAATCAGAGGTGGTTTTATAGCTCTATGCTGTGAGCGGGGGCGCCTCTCCACAGATCTGACTTGGCCTAGTTTGGTTTCCATGATGATAGAAAGGTTTAAAGCCACACTGTGTAACATTCCAGTCAAAGCATTAACATCTCCAAAAAGAAAAACCTCCACTGGAAAAGTTACCTAAAATTTGTTCTTATAACTTTTTTTTGTAAATGCACATTTTTAACTGGATAATTTTTACTTTAATTTCACTACATTTGAGAGCAGGTATCTGTACTTTCTGCTCCACTACGTTTTGCATCTGGCCTGAAAAGTAGAAGAATTTTTGTTATTATTGTTTAGGCCTGTTGAAAAGATCGAGGGGTTTATTTTTAAACCAAGTTCATAGTTTGAGCAAACAAAAATATACAAATAAAAATAATATTGATTCAGTTGTTTCTTTTGGACAAAATTCAGCACAAATCTTTATCAAACATTTGAAGCATTATTGGATCTCTAAATCTGCACAAAGTACTTTGACTCTTTAAGTACATTTGTAAACAGATACTTCAATTACTTAAGTAGTCTTTTTAAATACTTTTGCTCCAGTATCTGTACTTTTACTTGAGTAACAAAACTGAGAACTTCTTCCACCACTGTTAGATTCACGGAGTGTTGCAAAAACGTGTGGGTTTAAAACTAAACACCAGAAACGCTGCATGTGTATTTTGCCCTATGCAGGTGTAAAAACTGCACATTTTTTTAACGTGTTTTATTAGACAAATAAAACCAGACGATACATTCAGGCCTATTAAGTTCGTTATTTCCGTTGTTCTGTACACACACAGTTTGAACGTTGACCTGTGGCTGTGGTTTACACCGGTAAACCTGTCCAAAAACCACACACTTTGACAAAAACGGTATGATCCAGAGTTTGAATTTTAAATATTTGGAAGTAATTACAGAGCACGGGGCGGGAATAGGTGAAAACAGACATCGCAGAGATCACTAGATTACTCAAACATTCATGGAGGGTGTATAAAACATCTTTAGGCATGTTTTTAATGAGGGAACGATGTTGTAAAACGGCATATTTGCATAATTCCCCTCATCTTTAACAGTTCCATACAGTGGTCCCTCGTTTAATGCGGGTATTTCGTTCTAAAAATAACCCGCGATAGGTGAAATCCGCGAAGTAGTCAAGTATATTTTACAATTATTATCTGTTTTAAGGCTGTGAAACCCCTCACCACACACTTTATACACTTTTCTCACACAGGACAGTTACAACTATTTTTTACATCCTTCTTAAAACTTGCTGCTGTCATCCTTTTGTTATTTTCCTCCTTCTTTATGTAACAAACCGAAGATTCAATTTATTCCGGAGTGGAGCCCTGCAGCACAAAGTCCCGGTTACCGCAACATAAAGAGCTGCACACGTACGATCTTTGAAAACATCACGACACACAGAACAGACTCACCTTCACCATCAACATCCCTCTGTCACAGAAAGAACACTCATATTCCACTGAGTCGTGTCCTTTAGTCGAACAGAAGCTGAACCGCGTCAGTGCCTTTTTTTTTCCCCCCTCTGCTTAGTTTATGCAAATGAGCCATGCTGTTTTAAGTTTCGTTTCTGTGAGAGTTGCGCAAATCTGCATTAAACACGTTATAATGTCAAACGGTTCCTCCGTTCCGTTCCTCGTCGGTGTGGAGTGATGAGTGTGTCTGTGGGTGTTTTTCGTTGTGCGGTCGCTGTCTGCTCCGTGTGTGTTTGCGGCTTTGTAGTTTACTGACGTCGTGCTGGGACACCCGAGTGGATTCGTGTATAGGCGAGTTTCATTGTTGACAAAAGCACGCGTTGCATGCTGGGAATTATTTTGGTCGGTGGCAAGAAGCACTAATTCAACATGACGGACGGAGCGAGAAAGCACGTAAAGGGTATTGATCCCGGTTATTTATCCACTCTAACGGCAGAGGACCCAAGACCATTTGACCAGAAATTGGTCATAAGCATCGATGGACGACCAAATCACCCTTTTCAACCCCGACAAAAGGTTGGACCAAACCAAATTTCTGGTCAGAATCGCCAACTACCTGGACAAATATTCACTTCGGCGATATCCACAGTTACTTGGTGGAAACTCCTGGGCCATTCACAGCAGAAAAGATGAAAACCTCCAAGAGTCTCGATGTGTTGTTGAACTTGTTGGAGTCCACGGTTTGTTAGGATCTTCTACGTTTGCTCTGCGAATGTTTGAAAGCCGTTTAATTCACCGTTAGCGGTTCTTTTCACTCAGAAAACGAAAAAGACATTTTCCTTCTTCCGTGTTTCTATTTTTGCATCCGATAATGCAGCAGGAATTTACCATTACTGGGGATAAATATGCAAGGTTACGCACTGTGTTTGACAGCTATCGTGTTTCTTGCCTCTGACCAAAATATTTCCCAGCATGAAACGCGGGATTTTAATAACAATGATGTCAGCTGAAACTCGCCTATAGAGCGCTCTGGATTGTTGGGCGTGCGGTCGTTTTTTGATGGGGTTGGAGGCTTATGAGCGCGCCTAATAGCCCGGAAAATACGATATGCAAAATTGCTCAAAAAAATCAGCAAAACTGCGAGACCGCGAAAGGTGAACCGCGATATAGCAAGGGACGACTGTATCTGACTCTGTACCTGTCTCTCGGTGAGGTCCAGGTTGACGGCGATTTCGTAGCGCCTCAGTCTGGTCAGATAGTTGTGGTGCGCGAACTCCGTCTCCAGCTCCCGGATCTGCTCCTTGGTGAAGGCCGTGCGCTCCTTCCTGGGTTTCCCGCCGCTCATGTCCCCCTTGTAGCTCCCGTCCTGGGACTCTGAAATGGAAAACACAACTTTCTCCAGATCCAGCTGATTCTCCAAAAAGAAAACAAGAGGAGAGGAAGGCCAGAGCGGGGCTGGGGGAAGGAAAAGATTTGAGTGTGGGGGTTGATACTCGAGCGGGGCCCGTCTGAAAGTAAAATAAAACTCAAATTAGAGGTGCCAGTCATTTTTATTGGGCTGACATTGTTACTGTGTTGTGGTATAGAATGGTGAGGGAGGTATACAGGACAGCTTAATAACATGTAGTCAAATGGATTGTTTGAAACGCTTTAGTCACGCTAGTGTTAAAAATTACTGTTTTTATTTCAGGGCTTGTAGCAGAGCCAATGGATCAGCAAAGACCAGCCAACATTATGTCGTTCACAAATACTGTATGGTATTGTATATTGTATAAGCAGCTCTAGCGGTCAGAAAAGTCAACCGTCTGCATCTAATTATAAAGCGTTTTATTGTCCGATAATCAGGAAGTGCACTGTTAGCATTCTAATTGTTGTTAGCTGCACTGTCAAGGCAAAACTGGTGTCTGAAAGCTGCGAAAGGTGCTTATAAACTCATCACTGTTAATAATCAGGATGCTCTGAATGCATAAGGAATAACTTTGGACCACTGCAAACTGTTTAAAATGAACGAGCTCTGTTTTTCAGACAGTAAAAATCGTGTGCAGCACTTTTTAACATGGATCTTCTCTAAACAGGCTGGATTATAGGCCATTTTCACAACGACCGTAAGTGCCCCGCTGTAGATTTGCGGAACCTAATTGTTAATTGTTTTCTATACTAAAATATATGTGGAAATATTTTCCTAGGAGCTTCATAAATCTGCTCCATCACCAAATCTTCAACCAACAAGATTCACAAAGGATAAACATTCATCCATGAAGAATTTATCCACAACTATCAAGGTAAGAAAGATGAAAGCTTAAAGATGCACAACGATGACGCATTAGTGAACTACTGAGCAAAACTAATGTTATGCTCATGAATAAAACATAAGTACTGTATTTTCCGGGCTATTAGATGCTCTGGATTATAGGCGCACTGTCATTAAATGGTCTATTTTTTTTCACAAATAAACCGCACTGGACTTTAAAGGAAACACAACAGTGTGATGGGTGAGTGGTTTTGTTTGTTTGTTCGTTCACGGTGACTCTGGGCTTTGTTCAGTTGTGGCGTGTAGGGAGGGTGTGTCTGGGACCAACGGATTGTCGGCGTGTTCGCAGTGACTCAGTTGTTCAGTCGTGTCTAGAAGCGGCACATTGCACTCGCTTTTTTCGGTTCGTTCCTCCGTTCCGTTCCTCGTCGGCGTGGAGTGATGAGTGTGTCTGTGGGTGTTTTTCTCTTTGCGGTCGCTGTCTGCTCCGTGTGTGTTTGTGTGTTCTGCGGGTGGTGCGGCTTTGTAGTTTACTGAAGTCGTGCTGGGACACCCGAGTGGATTCGTGTATGGGACGCTCTGGATTGTGGGGCGCGCGGTCATTTTTTGATGGGGTTAGAGGCTTAAGAGCGCGTCTAATAGCCCGGAAAATACGATAACTTGTTCACTAGAATTAAAATTAAAAAACAATTTCATGATGTTGATGTTAACATAGAAAGATTTGTGCAGTTCAAATGCGAGACATGTCTAGGACACCATAACATTAGTTTTGCTCAGTAGTTCACTAATGCATCATCCTTGTTCGCCTTTAAGCTTTCATCTTTCTTACCTTGATAGTTGTGGATAAATTCTTCATGGTAGAATGTTTATCCTCTGTGGACCTTGTGGAGACAAGAGACATTTTGCCACAGAAAACCATGAACCGGAAGTTTGGCAAACCTACAGTGCGGCACTTCTGGCCTTTGTGAAAAAGGTGTGTTCAGATTTGTGCCTGAGATGAGGAAACTATCAATTAATACCTTTTTTATTTGCCCTTTTGTCGCCTGTAGTTGTTTTTAAATGTGCTGACATGACAAAGCAGCTACCATTAGCAACTTTACACCTTTTAATAACTTTTTTTTACAATACTTCTATCTGTTTTCATACATATGTTAGTGTCCGCTTCAAGATCTGTCTGTCTGCTGTTGTTTTCCCGACTCTCAATGCATTGTGGTCTATATTCATCGATCTAGTGACCATTGCTGGACACACCTTTCAAGATCCACTCTTAAATAGTTTCATATTTGGATGCGTTCATGTTTTCTTAGCCTGGGATCCCCATAAACACTTATCCTAATCCTTACTGGAATACTGGATATCATGGACAAACATAGTCTGTCAGATATATAGCACTTGGACACAGATACTAGGACTCTTTTGACTCTTCTTGTACTTTTCTTAGACTCTAACCTCCTCATTCCCACAGTCAAATCAAAGCACCTGACCTTGGGGGACCGAGCCTTTGCCATGACTGCCCCCACCTTCTGGAACTCTCTCCTCCTTCCTCCTCCTGAAACTCAGACTCACTAAACACCTTCAAAAAACTGCTCCAAACACACCCTTTTCCTCACAACCTACAGCCCTCACACATGACTGATTCTCTTTACTGTTTGGTCTGTCCTTTGGTTGTTTTACTGTGACTTTACTGCGGAGCGTCTGTTACAGTGAAAAGCATTGAATAAACCCGAATAAAAACACCTAAATTGTCTGTCACCAGCTCCTTCATTGTCTGGGGAAATTGTCCCTCTACTGTGTCAATCGAACCATGATGACACTGTTCTATAAAACATTTATGGAATCGGTTTAACTTTTTCACTGGTCTCACGATTTTGGAGCATCTCTTCCATGAACAAGAACTCACTTAATCAGTTAAATGTGCAAGTGAGGAGATTGTCCACTCTCAGAGCTGCCCGGCGGACGTCCCAGAGGATTCTAAAATACGTGCAGCATCCTCTAAACCAGGGGTGTCAAACTCATTTTGGTCCGGGGGCCGTATCCAACCTACTTTGATCCCAAAGGGGCCAAATCAGAAAACTCATGGCATATATACCCAAAAATAGCAATAAGTTCAAATATTTGTGCAGAGAAACACAAATCTATTACAGAAATCTTTTTTAATTGATGAACTCTTTCTTTTACAAAATATTATAACATCATGAACAACCTGAAACTTTAAGAAAAATGCAATTTCAACACAATATTTTAACAATAACTTGTCTGTAAACAGGAATAAGTCAATTTTTCTTGTAAAATCCTGCACTCGGCTCCACTTTTCTCATGTTGGACATTTTTCTGATGAGGGTGTCACGGTCAACAGTCAAAACGATCGTCCTTTAAGAGCGTTTGGAAAGAGACAAGTCTTCATTTGAGCTGCTCTGGAGGGAGGGGCCACGTACAGAGACACTGGAGACACTGCTCTGCTCAGTGCCGCAGAAATTTACCAATATTTTAATAGAAAATATAATTAAAATATTTTAGTAGAAAATCTGCCGAGGGCCACATTAAAGGTCTTGGAGGGCCGGATCTGGCCCCCGGGCCTTATGTTTGACACCTGTGCTCTAAACTCAGAGTTTCTGCTGCTTCCCTCTGGTCAGAAGCTTTTAGTCCCAAGATCTAGAACAGGGGTCACCAAACTTTTTTCTCAGAGGCCACATGACTGTGATGGGGGTCGGGTCAGGGTCGTGTAACAGAATTAACGCAGATTATATTCTTGGAAAACCGCAACACTTTCTTTACATATCAGACAAACTGCATGCTCCTTACACTGAACAAAAAAATAATCGGTCGTCCACTGTTCTTTGAAAACTCGGCACTCTCTGTCAACTTTTCGTACTTTTACACTTTGCCATTTTTCTGTCCTTAACCGCACTACAGAACTCTGCACGTGTATTGACTGTCACTGTTTGATCTCGAGTTTGTCAGGTATGTAAATGTAAATGCGTCATATAATTATCATTTTTAAATTGGAAAAAAAAAAAATACAAGATGCAGACGTGCTATTAATTTCCAAAAAGTAATTTAAAAAAAAATAGACCATGACAACTTTTGAGGATTGCCTCAGGTCCAGTTCAAGTGGTGGGGGCAGGGGGGCAGAGGGCAGGGGGGGCAGAGGGGCTGGGGTCAAAGCCGCATTCAGCCTGCGGGCCTTAGTTTCTTTTTTGTTTTGTTTGAAAAGGAGCTTTGTTCCATCTGCCATTACAATAAATTGTAATCTACTTATCCCATCGATTTTAGTACCTTGTCTTGTAAAATCCTGCTTTTTATATATTTGATATTTATTCAGATTTTAGCCAAGTGTGATGAATGAATTATTTATGGAACAAAACCATTCTGCCCTGGAGCTCTGCAACACTTTATTAGTAATTGTGCTTTTATTTGTTTTTATTGTTTATTGTGTTTATTTTATCGACCCTCAGATGTGTCGCAAGAGATTTTTATTTTATTTTTTTGGGGTAACCTTGTCACGATCTGCATGTATTTCTGAAATATACAGTTACAATGTACAGAATAATGTCTATTGACTTGGATTATTGACACAGAACTGATCGAGCTTTGCGGACGCCTGCTCCACGGGCTCAGGGTTCTCTCTGGGGCATTCCTAGATTCAAAGCCCTGGTTTGGTCCTGGTTTGGTCCTGGTCTGGTCCTGGTTCAGTTCTGGTTCAGACCTGGTTTATTTCTGGTTCAGTGCTGCTTTAGACCTGGTTTAGACCTGGTTTAGTCCTGGTTTAGTCCTGGTTTAGTCCTGGTTTAGTCCTGGTTCAGTCCTGGTTCAGATCTGGTTTAGATTGGTTTAGTTGTGGTTTAGACCTGGTTTATTCCTCGTTCAGTTCTGGTTCAGACCTGCTTTAGACCTGGTTCGGTCCTGGTTTAGTCCTGGTTTAGACCTGGTTCGGTCCTGGTTTAGTCCTGGTTTAGACCTGGTTTAGTCCTGGTTTAGTCCTGGTTTAGTCCTGGTTTAGACCTGGTTTAGTCCTGGTTTAGACCTGGTTTAGTCCTGGTTTAGTCCTGGTTTAGTCCTGGTTTAGTCCTGGTTTACTCCTGATTCAGTTCTGGTTCAGTTCTGGTTCAGTTCTTGTTCAGTC